CAGTAATTACGTGAGGAAGTAAACGTATTCCTATATTTCTCTAAAAACCTAACTAAAAGAAGGACAACTAAAACCGGAATTTAAAAAGTTAGAGGCAGAATACACTTCTTTTTCTCCTCATCATCCCTGACTGTTTCAGTTCAGTATTCGCTACTTTTTTAGCAGTACTTCTTGAACTTTTCTTATCTGCTAGGAGACTGTATCCTTTTTTCCTAACATTTCATGATCTCCTTTCTCAAAAACCTCTGCTGTCACCTTTTTTTTAAAAAAACATTTTCTTAAAGTACTTTGCGTGCAGTTTACAGTAAAAAAAAAACTAGGGTTTCCGGGCACTTAACAAAGTCATTATAGTAACACTGTTAAAAAGTATATGTAAAAATTGAAATTACTCTTACATTTTGACTAAAATCTCGGCTGAAAATAGAAATTAAATCATGAAATTGTAGTCGCCAACAGTTAAGACCTTAGACAATAAACAGTAGCTGCGACATTATTTAAACAAGTTACTTAGAAGTTTAGCATACTTTTACGGAGTTCACTCCGCATTTCTCCGCATTACACATTAGCATTGTGCTAAAGCAGCTGTAACTTCTCCAAAACAAAGAATTTTTGCTCCCAAAAAAATTTCGTACCAAATTAGAAATGAATTCCCCTGCAGAGTTAGTTTGCTTCGAAATATTCAGGAGACCACACATAGTGGTTGCAACACCTGGGCGTCTTGCCGACCATATTGACAGTGATCCAGAAGGAGTTGGATTGTTACTTTCCAAGATCAAGTTCCTTGTACTTGATGAAGCCGACCGCATTCTTGAAGGCCAATACGCCAACTCGGTAAAGTTTACAACCACTGTAGCTTTTTACTTGTTATTACATCTGGTATTCAATCTGTCATCTGAACGTTTGATAATTTCTTTTAGTAGATGAAACGACGAGTCTGTTTTGAATTTGTTAGCCTTAATTAACTACACGATTTACACCGTAAAATGCCATTAAACCGTAATGGTGCTTTGGGATTACTAAGGAAATCTGCCTTCTGGTTTTGTAGAAATTAGGAAACTTTAGTTATAAGCAGCGAAATAGTGACATTTTTTTAGAATTTTTAGAATTTTGGTGGTCTAGGGCTGACGGTTTTTAACAAGTTAATTGCTTAAATTCGAAGTTCTAATAAAAAGTTAATGCCATTTAATTTAAAGTATGATTTTTGGCACTAATCTTCCCATTGTTCATAGCAGAAAAGGTAAGTGGCACTGGAAACTTTTTTATCAGTTCAGCAGTCAATTCTTTGTTTTTTTAAAAGGGAGATTTGACCTATATAGTTGAACCCGAAACAATGTAAGGAAATGATTTCACGCCAGTTTCTAATCTGAACCACTCCTTTTAAATTGATTGGTTATTGAGCGTCAACTTTCTCTGGTTATTATACCAGATTTCTATGTATAAAGGAGTTAGCCAAGTAAATTCTGAGTCAGTTATGTCGTGTCAAAGTCATCTTTGTGCATTAGAAACTTCCTTTGGAGTACGAATTGTTCTTGTCCTCAAGTAGAATTAAGTAAATTTGGTTTAAAATAATCAAGTTTTACACTTACTTTACATGAAGTCAATACAATTTTTTCATTTGCATTGTAAAGCAAATTCCGTCTTGCTCAGAAAAGTTTTTTGTCTCAAAAGTGAAATATTCAGAAGTTTGTGACCTCTAACATCTCTAGGCAGAACTGTTAGGATAATTTGAGATGGATTAAATAAGCGGATCTCATCAGTAGCGCTATTTTTCATAAAAATAGTTGTGAGATGGAGCTTGCACAAAATTAGGTCTGCCATGGAGTTCTGTTTAAATACGTTGTTGACACGTTTAACTCTCCATTTCTGGCTCAATTTAGCAGCTGGAACCTCTGGTGCAGTCGTATTCTCGCTTTGAACTTATTTTGCTTTGCAGAGCGAATGTTCTCTTGAAGAATATAATGAAGAATATAAAGAGGGCCTTTTGCAAAATGCTTCCAAAAGTTATTCCCTTCTGTATTTTGATTGCTCAGAGAAAGTACAGAAAAATTTTTTTTTTTGAAAATTACAGATGGTAAATTTCCAGCCGGAAGCTACGTTTATCCAGTTTTAATTAGAGATAAAAAAACTAAATCCTCGAAGAAGTTCAAAAACATTTCTGAAATACTTTTTAACTTCAATGCGGTACAATTTCCTTTACAATAAACTTCGGGCTTTTCGCGGTGCTTTTAAAGTTCGGTGCGAGATCCCCATAGCAAAAATCTCCAAGATTTCAATTTTGTTAAGTACGTTATTCGATGTGAGATGCACTTGGCAAGAAGAATGCATTATTAAAGGAGTGAATGAAGTCTTTAATCGATTCTTTTTGTCACGGTTTCTCTAGTCTTTTTAAAGGGACTTTTCTTCTAACTTGGATGCGATTTTATACCTCATTTTATTGTTTTATTTTCAGCTGAAGAGCATACTCCGCGTTTTGCCTAATAAACGTCAAACGTTGCTTTTTAGCGCCACTATAACATCGGCATTGTCACATCTCCACCAAGTAACTGCTTGATAATTTGTTGCAGTAACACTACTCATTTCAATAGACTCGATTTTACCAGAATTTCCTCTGACATGCTTTTATTTTTATACGTTTAGGTTTCGATGAGGAAACCTTACTTTTTCAAAGACAAAGAGGAAGTGGCAACAGTTGAACGTTTGGATCAGAAGTATGTACTATGCCCCTCTGCTGTAAAAGATGCTTACCTTGTTTATGTCGTAAAGGTTTTTCACGAAAGGCATCTGAACAGTTCTATCCTCATATTTTCCCATACTTGTAAAGAATGTCAAGCGCTTGCGATGATGTTCAGTGGACTTGGTTTTGAAGTACGTTATTCAATATGGAGTTTCCTCATGTTCGTAGAGATGAAGTGAAAATTTTATAGGTTGGTTCCCTCCACTCTCAAATTCTGCAGAAACATCGGTTATCAGCGCTATCAAAGTTCCGGTCCGGTAGGATCCGAATTTTAATTTGTACCGATGTAGCCGCGAGAGGCCTTGACATCCAACATGTTAGTCTCTTGAAATTACAGAAGCTTTACTCCATCTCTACGCCGCAGCTTGCTAGTTTTCTAGGTCGATCTTGTTATAAACCATAACGTCCCTAGAGACCCAAAAATTTACATTCACCGAGTAGGAAGATCTGCCCGAGCAGGAAGGTTTGGTGGCGCAGTTACATTTGTCACGCAGTACGACGTGACGTTATTACAAGAAATTGAGAAGCTTATTGGCAGAAAGCTAGAACAACTCACTGTCAGCGATAAAAAAGTTTGTCTTGTTATGTACCGAAAGATATCCAATTGTCAATTAAAATCCATTCTGAGAACAGGAAGTCCTTCAGTCCAACTTACCAAAGGCTTCTTGTAACGTGGGAGTTTCAGGTAAAGCAGTATGTGACCCAAGTTTTGGTTACAAAAAGGGAAGCAGAAATCAAGCTGGAACAACAAAATTTTGGCGAACGGAAGGAAATTAATAGGAGGAAGGAAATGATATTGTCTGGCGTAGACCCGGAACAGGCTGCAGAGGAACTGAAAGAAGAGAGGACCAAAAGGTAAGCTTTGACTGTGTAACATGCTGGAAGACGCCGTGGCGAAAGGAGAACTTGTTTAGGCAGGCGATTTACAAGAAACGACGGGCCATTCCCCCAAAAACAAAGCGTCAGAAACTTAGTAGCACGGTCCAACCGGAACCCTAACAGGAAACAGAGCACCAGTAGACTCGAGACCCAACAGCCACCAGTCCTGAAGACACTTGCAGTTGCCTCAGCTAATACACCTGGTCATTTCTTGTGAATCCCCTTTCCCCTCAACTTGTTTTGGTAATGAGAACATGGATTTCTAAAACTATTCTGTTAACTGTTAAATTTTCTCAGCCCAGCCATCACGGTTGGCTTGCCGTCGTCACTAAGGACTTTCCATGACGCTTAGAGAGGCCACGGTGCCTGTAAAGTGTGCTTTTTAATAGTAGGGGTGGCGGCAAAGTGATGGCAGAAGATTTCTTGTGCCAGCGACACCTGGGTCAACACTTCATAATGTATTCATAAGTCAGAGAGGGTTAGAACTACCAACAGTGTATGATCCAGAAGTGAAACCTAATGGAACATATGTAAATAAACGGCCTGATTTAGTTGCTGGCATGTAAAACAACACAAATCGACTATCACAAGCAAGACCATTGACAAAAATCCCACAAAAAAAGCATGACAAAGCTTTTTCAATGTCTATCGTGGATCCAGCGGAAAGCATAATGGTGTCATGCATTTGCACGCGTCTCTTGCAGCTGTTTATTCATGTAACAAAGTTTTTTCGTCACTGCATCCCAATCGACTGCTTTATCTCCGTCTCTCATTGGCAACTTCCCTTGCACTCGCTTCCTGAAAAACATTTGGAATTAACACTCGAAACAGCCATTTACGTTATGCCTTCCACTGTATAGATTCACGTAAGCCACAGCGAACACTACTCTTCTAACAGTTAAAACCTGGAATATAAAGGACTTTCTTCAGAAATTTTCTTCTGGCCAAGAGTAGAGATTAGAGTAGTGGGTCTACTACTGCTTTTTGCAACTTCCTGCACAAATCTGTTCTTCCAAAGACTTTGCTGAGCGACGGTATTGTTCCTCAAGGTTCTAAGAAGTTTTATTCGTGCGCGATTCTCCCGACTAATTTGTGGATTGGACGAAATGAATGCACTTGTAGAAGCTCTGGGACTATGAGTGCACCTCGCACAAGCGAATCAAGAACTGTAGTGGAGGCAAGGAGGCGGGAAAGTGCGTGGTTAATAGGAAGACTAAAATACTGCGCAGTCCGAGTGCTCTGTTAACGAAAGTTCCAGAAGTGTTTACCTCGTTTTTTCAGTGTAAAAAAACGAGACATTAACAGCATACAGAGCAGGCATAAGAGCGGTCGCTGACACTTAAAGCTCTACAAGCTACCTCATTAGAACAAAATGAAAGGGCTTTTAGCCCCTCTATGCAATTGCGACCAGAAATTAGGAAAGACCTTTGATTTCAAAAGTAAGCCTTATTACGCTTCCAATCCCACATCGTTCCCTTGAGCATCAGTTAAAAATTCCATCTCTAGCGGTCAACCAATTGAGTTTTTAAAGGGATGGTCACCGAGTCTAGCAGCTGGCGGCTTCAAGAGAGAGTTGTTAATGTAGGAAAGTTCTTAAAGACTCGAGGAGAAGAACAACTGGAGCAAGGGATGAAAAAATACACATGCACCTCTTCATCCAAAGTTGCACTGCAAACTACAATCACAAAACCTAATCCGGAAATCTCAGCCCCGTTCCAAAGTCTCCCGTAGAGAAGTTTTTGATTCCTTAAGCTTTTGGCAGCTTCGGGATTCGATTATGAAGAATTCCAGCAAGTTTCAAACGCAAAACCAATTTTGAATTATGCCCCAAGCAGTAATATAATCCTTGCAGGAAGATCTCCGCATTTCAGGGCTAGTTTCCTGTGTATACTAGTGCCTTGAAACGTTTTTGCTATTTTTTTTAAATCACTGGTCTACCGCAGTTGCTTCTCAAGATCAGCTATAATTCCTTAGAACCAAAAGCACCACAGGACGTTCTCACCCGCACTTCGCAGACGGAAGGGACGCAGTCATCCGTGATTATGACAAGCATAGCGGTCACCGCGAACTTTCCACAATGCTTTCCCACTTTACTTAACCAGTTTCCCCTCATAAGCGGTGTAGCTCTAGAAAAGGCAACAAAAACCACTTTGACTACGAAGTAC